TACTACTACTACTACTACTAAGGTTTTCCAGCTCAAATGGTGTCTTTTGTTTGGTAGCGTGCCCCCTACCTCTCTCCCCATATCGCTCATGACTGCTGCTACTTGGTGGCTGCTGGCGGTGGCGACTTCTGCGGGCATAGCCTGGCCTGATGAGCAGGCGTTCAGCGGCCAACGGCAGACAGCAGGAGTGACAGTGAACAGCGCTACAACTGCGACAATGCACGGAAGGCCCAAACTATGGCAGGCTAACGCTCCTGCCACTGCGAGCTGCAGCATCACCGCACGGGCACTGGTGTATCAAGGCAGCTACATGGGCAGTCGGTATAACCGCGCCCTTGACAATTGTTGCGAGAGATGTGAACTTGCCATACAGCATCCGACGTGCAGCCCATGTGGACTTGAAGCTTGTCGTTCCGAGTCGCAACATAGGCAGAAGCGAAACAGTTGCATGCCTCCACGCTTCATTGTGCCAGTACAGCAAGGGCTCAAGCCGAGTTGCTCGCACATCACATGTGCATGTGACACGCCATATGGGCGCGCTTTCAGCACAGGCTGGAATACCCTAAAACATAGTGGGGAGATTCGTGAGTCTAGCTGCAGCAGTAGGCAATCTGACTACGAAATAGCATGTCGGCTGTGTGAGCTGAAGGTGTCAACCTCGCCCGGCTTTTGCCCCTCACGTAGTCCCTACCAGGGTGATGCTGTCTTGCCCACCAGACTGGCAGCGGACAGCAGGCCGCTGAGCACTCAGGCAAGCCTCTGCTGGCGAAGTGCAGACCACTGTCACACACATCATAGGCCTAAGAGACACGACACCCCGTGCACACATGCCAGGCTGTTGGGTTCTGCCACACCTGGCCAGTTGCATACAGCGCTGCGCTCTGACAAATGGCACGGAAGGCCAGACGCTCAGAGTGCAAGTCTTGCTGACCATAGACACTGTCCCAGCACGACGACGTGGTCAAAGCAAATCCGCCGAACCATGCACTTGCAGCACTTGCAGTTGTCGCAGTCTTCTTGGCTGACCGTAGGTTGCCAGTCTCACCTGGGCTCTCTGCCACAACGCCCCTCCTTCTGGACTAGTGCTCCTAAGCTTCCCCTGTTTGTTGACGGTCCCGTAGCTCGCAACTGTAGCGCTGCTTCCTGGGTTCTCTGCGTTGGGGTTGCTCCTAGGACCAGGGCCAGTTCGAACGTAGGGCGTCCATGCGCTGCCATGGGTCACTCCAAGTGCTCCAAGAAACGACAAGGGGGTCGCCCTGGCAAGCGTCAGCGGACTGAAGCTCGAGCCACGTGGCAACACGACGACCAGCGGCCAGCTGCTGACAGACAGCGCTCCTACTGTGGAGTGTGGTCGGCCTGTGAGTTCGGACTTGAGGAGGAGTTCTGCAGCAGGTTGTGCCACCAGGCGGCCAAACTGCAGTGGTGGACGGACGACCACGAGGTTGCCCCGGACACTGCCCGGGCAGCAGGCTTCTCCGCTTCCGCGGCTTCCTCCTCTTCCCGGGAGACAGTGACGACGACAGTGCCTCAGAAGACGGACACGACCTCACCACATCGCCCAAAGGCAGTAGCCGAGCAGCGGTGGCTGAGCACGGCAGCAGGCCAGAGCCACCGCGAGGGTAGGGCACTGGAGAGGCTGTGTGACAAAATGCATTGCGAGAGACACTTTGACACTAGTGCGTGTTGCGCCGTTCATGTCAGAAGCCTGCAGTTCATGCACACCGCTTTAACACGCGGCCCTGGCAATAGCTGTCTGTTGGTGTCCCACTACCAAGGTGCACGGAAGCTGGCGCTGCAGAGCACAGGCCTGTCGCTTGTGCTAAGCCCGTGTCTCAACACACGCGCTGCTTTTACAGTCCCTAAAGGTTGCTGTCACCCGACCCTAGCAAGGCCCCAGATAACCGTAGTCCGAATTTCCTTCCAGCTTTGGCTCACGATCTGTCTTTTGCTGCGCTGGTCTGTGAAACAACATGTGAGGAAATCTTGGTGGTGTAGAGTCAGGGTTCTTAAGGGCATTTACGTACGTCGTCGTTTTGCTTCCTTTAGTGCTGCTTGCCCTAGCTTGAAGCAGAGGCAGTACGCACGCAGCTCGCAGGCAACTGCTTCTGAGAAGCTCGCGGGCCAGCGCGATCAGGCAAGCGATGCTGAAGAGAGCCGCAGCAGACTCGTGCAGTGTCAACACGGCTTGTCTTCTCATTCAGGCACCCATCACAAAATCACAAGAGCTGGCTGGGGTCCCAATTCCCCAGGAAGATTCTGCTTTCTTGTTCTCTTAGTCCTTGGTCATGCCGCTGTCACGGCTGAAAGTGTTGCAGTTTCTTCAAAACCGAGGGTTGCTGGATCTGCCGCTCCAGCGAGACCTGTCTCATCTCTCTCGACTCATCTCTCACCGACAGGGAAAGAAGGCACGCAAGCTGCTGCCTTGCATATACGCTTTAGTTATTCAGCCAAGAGATCGTACAGACAGGCGCGACGTCGCGCACACGTCTATGGAGAGACCACATACAGAGGTCAGCGCCACACAGCGGCCACGCTGCAGGCGCTCTATGGCATCCCTGCAGAGCCCAAGAGACAGGCTGTGTGTAGACCAGTGCCACAAGGCCGCAGGCAGGCTGTCTGCCCTGACATACAATGCTGCAGGTCTGACGGCTGGAAGCTGGCAGGAGCTTCAGGCTTGGCTCAACACTCAAACCTACCAAGTCGTAGCCATACAAGAGACGCATTGGGCTACGGAAAGCACGTTTGATGTTCCGGGATGGCATTGCATCAACACTGCCAGCACCCCTACGGATAGGTACGCCGGAGTGATGGTCATGATCTCTCATCGTCTAGCCGGTCCGGAGCTGATCAGGCATGCAGTTCACGTCGAAGGAAGGGTACTGCAAGTCAAGATCACGGCAGCTGCAGGCACCAATGCCGCTATAGACATAATTGCAGTGTACCAACATGTCTGGCGCTCGGGCCTCTCAGTTGAGGATAACCACAAATGCAGGGGGTTGGTTTGGGATAGCATAGACGGTGTCCTGCATCAGCTCCCACAGCGAAACACATTGGTGCTACTCGGAGACCTGAACACACGGCTTCCTCAAAGCCCGGGTGTAGGTCAAGCTATCCCCAGACACGCTGGAAGAGTTGAGCCTGACCAGCGCAAACTGACCAATCTCATTTCTAGGCACAGGCTAACAGCACTCAACACTTGGTGCAGTCGCTCGCCCCACACACATCAACACCAGGGCTCCAAAACATTGATCGACTACGTGTTTGTGCGAGCCCACCTTGCTGACCGTACTGCCCGTAGCAGTCGTCCGGTACACGATGCCCCGCTCGCCGAGTGGAAGACCAGCAAGCACTGGCCGGTTGAGGCTTCGCTCCGCCTCATGCAGCACTGGCATCATAGCAAAACGACTCCCCGCCAGCATTTTGATGTTCAGGCCTTGCAACACGCGGTGAGGCATAACACAATGGCTGTTAGCGATATGCGCGCGCACATTGAGCGGGCTATCGGTGCTCTTCCTTCTCCCGCGAGCATAGACGACATGCACACTCAGTTGGATGGAGTGCTCACCTCGGCGTGTGAGCAGTTTTTCCCACGAGGTAGCGGTCGCGCCCAGCAACTAGCCAACAGTTACCCTACCCTTGCCGCCCTAGATGCTGCCCTCCAAGTTGGGTTCAAGCAGCTCTGGCAGCTTCGTCGCTCCATGCAGCAACACGCTGCGAACAGCCGTGGCACCAGCAACGCCATGGTATGGGCTCGCTATTGCTTCACTGCCTGGGCCCAGCAGGCCAAGTACCACACAATGAGCAAGCTTTTTCACAAACGCAGCCGGCGCCGCAAACAAGCACGGTGGAATGACATAGCTGATAAGGTTAGCGCTGCCGACGAGAGAGGTGATAGTCATGCTAAGCATGCGGCACTGAAGCAGTTGCAACCATGGGTCCCTAGCAAGCGGCTTCAGTTTAGGGACGCCCAGGGCAAGCTGCAAGGGCCGATTGCTGAGCTACGCACGCTTGTTAGTCACTGCAAGGCTATCTTCGCTGTGCACGATGAGACCGCTCCTGCTAGGCATCTCACAGCTAATGTCTCGCCCACAGATGCGGAGCTTCACAATGCTCTTGCACGGACGGGCCCCCACTGGGTCTGCGCCCACTGCGGCATGGAGAGTTGGTGCAGCAGCTGCCTCGGCATACATAGCCTCCCACTTGTCGCATCGGTGGAAACCAGGAGCTGAGGCTGTCATGGCCCGACCCTGGAAAGACGCGGAAGTGGCCTTCACCCCTAAACCCGCCAAACCGCCGTCTACGCCAGAGCACCTCCGCCCTCTAGGCTTAATCACCCCAGCTGGCAAAGCCATAGTCTCGTGGCTTCGCTCCCGCATAGAACCACACCTAGGCCCGCTTCTTCGTGCTCTGCCGCAGTACGCGTACTCCGCCAAACACTCATCCTTGGATGCACTGCCTCGCGTCAACTCGCACTTCTGGCGGGTACAAGAACAGGTCCAAGGTACGCGCCTTTCAATCTACCAGCGGAAGGCGGGCGTCGCGAATCCACAGTGTTATGGGGGTATCACTCTCTCTGTGGACCTGAAGGGTGCATTCAACGAAGTGCCCAGAAACCTCCTCTACCAGTGTCTTGAACAGTTAGGGGTGGACGAGGATACAATGATCCTAGTCCGACAGTTGCACTGGGAAGCTACGTACTGGCTTCGCAATGCCTCGGGTGGTGTCGGTGTCGTCACTTCCAATGGCATAAAACAAGGATGCAGAGTCGCACCCACATTGTGGAACTGCTACACGGTCACCCTTCTCCAGACGCTGTGCCAACAGCTGGGCAATGAACATTTGCGACAGTGTTTGACACTTTTTGCTGACGATCTGATATCCACGAAGGAATATCGCTCCTGGGAAGAAGCGCTTGTCAGCATACACTGTCTAAAGGTCGTTCTCACCACTCTTGAGCAAATGGGAACGGTGATCAATTTCGACAAAACTGCTGTTCTGCTTTCTGCTAATGGCACCTTAGCTCGCAAACTGCGCAGACACCTTACTGTCAAAGTGAAAGGCAAGCTCTGCGTCGTGCTTCGCGTAAGCGACAGGGAGGTGTGTATCCCGCTCGTAGCGTCTCATGTGTATCTGGGCACTGTCATTTCGTATAAGCAGGCTGCAGACAAGACTGTCCGGCACCGCATGCAAGTGGCGGGCCACAAGTGGCAAAAACTGAAGCGTGCGCTCCGTTGCAGACATATGCTCACGCGTGGCAAACGTACTCAAATCTGGAGTGCAGGAGTGCGCTCAAGCATGCTCTACGGTCTCGCGAGTGTCCAGTTTGGTGCGAACAGCAGGCAGGCACTTCGCAGCAAGGTTGCGAGACAGCTTCGTCACATAGCCCATCTCCCTGCGCATGTCACGGGCATCAACAATCAAGAGCTGCATGCCATGATGCGCGCTCTTGATCCCGTCACCATTGTTCGCGAAACTCTTGAGGCTCGCTTGAAGCATCTAGAAGTAGTCGAACAAGAGACTCCTGATGATGTGGTGTGTTGTCCCTCAACTCTCGAGTATGCTAGGGCTCTCTTGGAGTTCCACAAACAGCATGAAAGCCAGGAGCACAACACAGCGCGCATTGTCATAGCAGAGCCCACTGTTGGATTCGAGCACGCATGTCCTGAATGCGGGCTGTACTTTGCGAGTGCGAGCGCAGTCAAGCAACATTGCACGCTGGCACATGACATCACTGCGGCGCCGATGGAAATGACACATGCTGAGATTGCCGCTCAAAGTTTGGATGGACTCCCCCAGTGCAAGGGCTGCCTACATAAATTCTGTAGCTGGTACAGTTTTACTCAGCACATCACGCACAACCGGTGCACTGCCGCTGAGGACGCACCTTCTGCAGTGACGGTCGCTTCCACTGCAGCCACTGAGGTGCCTGTGGCTGAGCACAGCCGAGCGACCAGGCCTCTTCTTCAAAATTCAGAGGTACGTCACACCCTAGAGAAGCCTGAGGGATGGATTATGCTCGCTAAGGATGCCTCGCATCGGCGCTTCCTTGCGCAAAGCTGCGCGCTCTGTGGGCAGTGGGCCACGAATGCCCGAGGTGTAAAACGACACATCTGCAGCAAGCATGCTGAACAATACAAGCTTTACCATGCCGAAGCTGTTAAATTGTGTACTCAGCAGTCGCGCCTGTTTACAAGCCACACTTTCTGCAAGCTTTGTGAAGTGCACATAGATCAGGCCTGTCGGCACAAGACGTCCTGTTCCGTGCTGTACCAAGCAGCACTGTTGCACCTCGTACACAGGGCCTCCCCAAGTTGGCCATGACGCTGGCAGACCGCATGAGAGCCGAAGAGATGGAGATCTTTGGCAACACTTCACAGGGGCTGCTGTTCGGGCCGAAGCAGGAGGTGCTGACAGAGGAGTTCTCAACGGGGGGAGGCAAGCGCCGACGACAGCAGGAGCAGGGGGGAGGGAAGTCCAAGGGCAAGGGCAAGGGCGGCCTGAGGACCGGGGAGTCCTCCCTACGCGAGGCGGTGGAGTCACTAACGAGAGTCGTCATGGCCCACGAGGACAGTCTCAACCACAGCAAGCTCGATCGCGGGATGGTCTTCTACATGGGCACCGGCGAAGACAGCATAGTGCGCAAGCTGTTTGCCATCACACAGAAGGCGAAGGAAGTCCGACAGCAGGGGTCTGCCTCTCAGGCTCCGCTGAAAATCCTACTCCTGAAGTCCATGCTGGCGGCGATCGACGAGCGCATGACGGTTCTGGACAAGAATCCGGATGCCCTGGACAAGGCCACGAAAGCCCAGCTTCTGACGGAGCAGGGGTGGACCTTCAAGCGGTGGGATCATCAAGCCAAGCAGCTGGTGGTAGACGACACCAAAGTGCCGATCAACGCACAGGACATGCGCAAGATTCTCCAAGAGATCTTCGAGCTGATTCACGAAGACACGATCCTAAAGTTCGCGTCGCACCGAGGCCTCAAAGAGGACCATGTCGACGACAAGACCGCTGTTTTCCTGATGGAGATCTCGGTCCGGGGCGAGAAGGCAGATCGGCTCTTCTTTCTCTTTGCCCGGCTAGCACACAGCTCGGTGTGGCACACGCTGGGAAGCCAAATGCGCCGCGCCACGCTACGCCGAAGCGGATTGGCGCAGAGAGTCGCAAGGGACATTTTCGGATGGAGCTAGCCGACAGTGTCGCTGGCCATGACCCTTCCGAAGGCGCACTCCTAGCGGAAGGACCGGCCCAGCAACAAGCAATCTTGCGACTTGAACTCAGTAACCCGCACAACATCTGCTACATCAATGCTAGTGTTAGTGCCATCGCATGGCTCTTAACGCTACAGCAATGCCGCTTGCCAGGGGTTTTTAGTGCCGTCCTCACCAAACGTCGTGCATATCTGTTGCAGGATCTTGGTCTCTGCCTCGTAGGCTGGGAAAGCCCTCGTGCACAACATGATGTAGCTGAGTTCTGCACCTACATCCTCAGAGTGCTGCAACTCCACGTGCATTTCGCGTTATGGCAGGGGACCATCGTCGAAGGGGCACGTGTGCACACAGTCTCATCTGGGACCGGGAGTCCTGTGCTTCTTCTTCTTCTTCCGTACCCTAACGATGCCCCAGGTAGGCCCACCCTGCAGCATTTCTGCTATGCATGGCACTATCAGGACGCTCTGTATCATCTCGCAGCCCCGGCCTCAACATTCCTGCAGCTTCCCAGGTTTCAAGTAGGGACTGACGGTCAAATCTACAAGCGTGCCTTTGAGGTTGATCTGAGTCCGGGGTCTGTCAGGGTTTTACGCCTTCCTTGTGGCGCGAGGGGAGCAACTCGATGGGTACGCTACAATATAGTGGCCATCATCTTCCATCTGGGTGCTACTGTGAATAGTGGCCATTATGTTGCTCTCCTCTTCAGGGGTGACACAGCATATCTGCGAGACGATCGAGAGGCAGCCAGAAAAGCCTCCCCTGCAGACTTGTGCACAGCTGAAGCACATGCATACCTTGTCTTTGCTGTTCCAGACCAGCCACCACACTAGCAGCAGCGAGCAGCACAGTGAGTTGGCTCAGAACTGGACGGATAAGACGGCTCTCCTGGGTTGTGGGTTGAAGTTTAGTCAGTTGACTAAGCGGGCTGCAGGTTTATCCTCGCCCACTGTTTCTTCTGTTTTAACTTCTTGGCAACGTGTTGCCTAACCGGGCACTGCTTCGACGGCACTGAGTCGTTCAGACTTCCCTAGCCAGCACTGCTACGGCCCTGAGACCTCTAGGGCCGCCCGATGCATCGCCTTGACACTACATGGCACGCATGGCCATGTATTGCAAGCCGCTGAACCCAACATGTTCTCTGAAGCGGCGCTGAGACGTTCAGACTTCCTAACGTAGTCAACTGCTGAGCAGGCTCAGGCTCCTTAAGCGGCGCTGAGATGTTCTGGCTTTTTTGTAGTCGCAAGCTCACGTTCTCTGGCAGTCTCCCAGTCTTTGGTTGAATCTGGTGTTCCATGCTCTTTAGAGGGCTTCGGCCCCATGGGACAACACCAGCTGACGCAAAGCGTCCAGAAGGCTTCGGCCTCTAGGTATGCCTCCCGCCATTAAGAGTGGGCGTGAAGGCAACAATGCCTTACACGTTGGCTTCGCAGAACTCGTGCAGGATCGAGTCCGCGCTGGAGTGAGTGAGTACTGCTACTACTAACACTACTACTACTACTACTACTACTACTACTACTACGACTACTACTACGACTACTACTACGACTACCGCTACCACTACCAAGACCACAACCACTACCACTACCATGTTAGAATCACGGTCGCCCGTATCATCTCAAGATGCCTTCCGCCCCACTGCCATGAATGCCTGGTAGTTACAGTCTCGCTCGTAGAACCTGGAGTGTTTTGTTAGAATATTCACTTTCGCTGCCACTACCTAGCACGTTGATTTGCAAAAACGAAAGGAGGCCTTTCTAAGCCTTTAAGCGGAGGCAGGTGTCGCTGCTGGCCACCTCAGCCAGCAACAGATAGACGAAGACGGCGAAGGCCATGGCGCAGGGGCTTCTGAGTCTAGGAGAAGCCAACTCCCACTCCCACCCGCTCAAGCCAAATAAGGGGGCGCTGAGCTTCGGCTTCCCAAGCCCTTAAAGAGACACTGAAGCCTGAAACATCCTCATACGCACATGTAGCCTAGCCTTGTAGCATCTGCCGCTCCATCCGAACCCGAAGCTTCCCAGTGCACCTGTAGAGTTTCAGCAGAAGCCCCTGGCACGGAGAGCCTGAGTTGGACTGAGCGAAAAAATTAAGACACAAGTTGGGAAATAGGGTTCCAAATGTGGAGTTTAAGTGTGGCTGATCTGGTTTAACAACCCAGCCGAAGCCTAGATGCGGCCAGATCAGCTGCACATGAGTCCACATAACTGCGGCAGGTTTACGTGCAACTGTGGTGGTGCATTTTGGTTGTCAATCCTGCGCTCTTGGATCTGTTGAGTTGAGTCGTCAGTCTCGTGCAGACGTTGTCTTCGCGCTCTTTCGTTTATTGCCAGACACACGGATAGCAAACTGGTCATGTGACACATGCTCCTTTCAAACTTAGACAAGTGGGCTTGAGTGCTCGTCTGGTGGGCGGGCGTCAGCTTTGCTACCGGGAAAACAATGTTCAGAGCTCCAACAGTACATGGTTTGGGACGTCGGGCCAAACATCCGAAACGCAAAATAAGATGTGAACCCCGACTATGGTTCTGGTAGGCCTGTCATACCAGGCCCCATTGGGGCCCCAGCAGCCGCTGTTGGAAGGTCGTTGCCTCAATGCTATGGTGACCATGAGCAGATACCAGGAACAGCACAGTGGCTATCGACGGCAGTCAAAGTCATCATGAACATCATCATGACGGCCATCGCCACCACCCTTCACAGCACTGCACTGTGCTAGCTGCTGGTAAGTAGTCGTTACAATAAGTGTTGTTCGTTCTTCCGCTACCATCATGTAGTTTACAATTTGACAATATAGTGCAGAAAGGTGTAGCTTCATGATTCTATGTGATTTACTGTGCCCTTTGCCGTGCAAGACCCCAGCGTCAGCCTTTTAGAAAGTTGGGTGCCCCGAGCTAGGAAAATCAGGCGCATGACAGATCTCCATCCACAGCCGAAATCTATGTGTCAACTACTGCGGGCCCTAAGTCAAAGTCCTCAGGACCATCCAAGCAGGAAAATGGCCAAGTTCAGGACAAAGCCCCCCCAAGCAAGAGCAACGTCCAAAGCAAGGCAAGGACGACCCACAGGAACTGCCAAAACCCTCAACCGAACTCAACCATTGATCAAACCTGTCTCCCTGGCAAAGCGTGGCCTTGAGGAGGGGTCTCAGGAAGTCCTTCAGTATCCATCACAAAGAGGATGGTCTTCTTCTTACCACTAGGGCTACTGCTGCAAATACCGCTGCTTGAGATTCCTCTAACTACTTCAACCATTACGGTTCCTGTGTGGTGTATAATAGCTTAGAATCTGATACTACTTTGGATTTGTGACATTGCTTACAGCTGATGCGCCTACTCGTATGTCTGTCTGTCTGTCTGTCTGTCTGTCTGTCTGTCTGTCTGTCTGTCTGTCTGTCTGTCTGTCTGTCTGTCTGGCGACGGCCACCAGAAACTTGCTGAAATGCCGCCATCTGCGGCATCTGGTACTGGTGTATTCGCACAGTGGACCGCTGTCTATGAAACAAAGCCAGGTTCAGGCAGTCGGACTGTCTAGGCATCTAGGCATCTATGTTTGCTCTGTCCTTGATCGCCTGCACGAAATCCTCCGCAGAGGAGGCAATTCCTGAGCTGTCGATTCTCGCAGGCAGAATCTCCAGCCAACGGTGAAGCGAGTGGAGCTTCGAGGACTTTGGTGGAACATTGCGCCCTCTACCTCAACCCTAGGCCGTACACCACCGCTGCACGTGTGCTGCACCAGGATGCTGAGCCGCATTGGCAAGCACGATTACTGGCTGAAACTATGGCGGGACACTCTGAAGCTCTTCTGCATCGAGCGTGGCGACCACATTGCCGGACAAAGCGACGATGCGAAGCATCGGATCGGGCATTGATGCAGGCACTCGGGAGCACCGGCAACTGAAATCCTCCCACTGAAGCCCCTCAGGAAGCCATAGCGGCCTCAAGCCCCGGGCCTTGGACTAGTCACGTCATAAACTCCATGGCGCTCTGAGCAAAATGACAGTCCGACCCGACAACCTGGGTTTGAGGCCCTTAAGCCTTACCTGCATTCTCTTCCAAACCCTTGAGCCAGAGCTTCATGACACGAAAGATTATGGCTGCGGGATCAGACTTGCAGTAGCTGTTCGGGGAAAACGACTGGCACCTGCAGCCTCGAGGATTCGAGCTGGACAACATACGCACTTTCCACTTAGCACTGCAACCTCTTAACTGCCGAGAAGGAACTTCTTCTCTCCCTACTTCACGCTAATGTGCCACGAGCTCAGCGCAGTATGCTTCTAGTATGCTGGCTACCAACCCCGATAGTCTCCCAAAGGACCCGAAGCATTCCAAAGCACGGAACTCCCAAGCCCTGCACCCCGAAACCCATATGCCCCCAACAACGAAACCTACACTCAAATGCGCAAATCTCAGCCCAAAGGACTATTATCTCACCGGAAACAGCATAGCCGCTGCCGCCTCCTCCAGATTCATGCTGGGCTCTAGCGCAGACTCGGGCGCTGCACCTTTGTCCATTCTTGAGCAGCTCAGAAAAATCAGCTCTGAACGCTTCTCTTGGAGGTGTGTAGTTCTGGGAGAGTTGCGCGTTGTGGCCAATCCATTCGCGCTGCTCATACAGCAGCGTTAAGCGTGGGCCGATTGAACGACTACCGGTGTCTGACAGTTCGGCTAAGGACTGCACGACTAAACAAGGCATATCTGGAAACCCGAACCTAAATAAGGCACCAGATAGCACCAGCTCGGTGCAAGCACCTGCTACTGCTGCTACTACTACTACTACTACTACTACTACCCCTACTACCCTACTACCTACTACCTACTACCTGCTACCTGCTACCTGCTACCTGCTACCTGCTACCTGCTACCTGCTACCTGCTACCTGCTACCTGCTACCTGCTACCTGCTACCTGCTACCTACCACCTACTGCCTACTACCCACGACCTACTTACCTGCACCTGCTACCTGCGCTACCTGCTACCTGCTGC